AGAGAGAGAGAGAGAGAGGAGGAAAACAGCTGCGTCAGGCCGACTGTCGCGACTCGCGAGCAAACAATTTTCCTCCATTGTGTCGCAGGGCGCCGCGGCGCGCTTTGTCCGACCAGGCAAGGAGGAGAACGCGCGCGGCCTGGCAGCGTTCGTCGGGCAAAACAACGTCACGGACGATAATCGCCGATCGCGCCTCTTATCGTCGCCGGCCTCCTCGGCTCCTTCACCCTCGGCAGTCGGCGGCTCGAGGATTCCCCGTCCGCCGTGACTCGACGAGCGCGCGCCATTGTTCTCTCCGCGACGCCGCGGAATTGGGACGCTCGCGCGCGCGCTCAATTGCAATTGATTCCGTTAAATTGACGAGCGCGTGGGAAGAGGGAGTCGCGATGCGCGACCACGCTCCCGCGGCTTTCCGCGTGCGAATTGCGGGAGCGCGGGTCCGCCGCGTCGAACCGCGCGTAGCGGTTTCTTTCTTTTCTTGTTTCTTCATTTTAATGAGATTAAACGCTGCGTGAGCGCGGTTGTTTGGCCTTTCAAGGATCATCGTCGGAATTTTTCACCGTTTCGGCGACTACTGCGAAAAAATCCAAGAAATTTCGATTCGTTCAATTAAGGAGAAAGTTGGCTTTGCATATTCATGAGTCTCTCGTTTTCAGTGTTTTGGTAACTCGATAATATTGTCATCGGCTCGATAGCTTGACAAGTTAATCGATCCTCGAGGAAGACCTCGTCCAATCATACATATTCACATAGCAGCGTGGCCAATTTGGAAATTTCAAAGACTTTCGTTTTCACTCGCGCGTTTACGTGTTGTACGACTGCTTGCGTCGGGTGCGGTGAAGAGGAAGGAGAACGGCCAGCACAATATTCGACAGCCGATAATTCGATTTAAAGGGCAAGAGCACGCCGCAGACGCCACGGAAGAATAGAACGAGTAGAAGAGAATGAGGAAGGAGGCGAGAGAGCGTTCTTTAAAAGTAATGCACTCGATCGAAAGCATCCCATGCTCGTCCTCGGGATATTTACTCCGGATGTCTATTCACCTCTCGAGCCCATTGAGCGCGCGAGGAGGCGGGAGAGATGGACCGCAGCAAGCGCGAGGCGTTTGAAAAAAAGGCCGAGCCAGAGCGGAAACCCGAGGCCGCTCTCTCGACTTCTTGAACCTTCGTTTCCGGGCAGCGGTTTCTTCCCCGGCAGGTGCTCTCCTTGCCGTCGAAAAAGAGAGAAAAAAGGAGACAAGAAAAAACCGCGGAAACACATGTTCCAACACTCGACGGCCGAGCGACGAATAAAAACACGAAAGGAGGCTCTCGCGTCGACGATCGCGGGTAATTTCACGCGAGGCGCTCGCGAAAAGTCACCGCGGAAGCGGGAAATATCGAGCGGCGCGGGGCGCGCGTCCGTTGGAAATGGAGCTGCCGACACGGGGGTCTTCGCCTTGGAGTCGCTTCGCGGGATGACGGCGGAGCGATGTTTTCGGTAACGCTACACGTCCAAACTATTAAGCAGCATGCGCCCCTCGCGCGCACCGGGAAAGAGACAAATGTTTGGGCTATCGTTATGACATATTCCTTTGAAAATTTCGTGTGATGCGCCGCGCCGGAAAATAAACAGAAGTATCAGTCCTGCGGGACTTGTGCGATCGACGCGTGCGGCTATTAACGTGGAAACGCTATCGAGGAAAGCGCTACTTATTTTTAGGGTTGAGCGGCAAGTCCTAGAACTCGTAAAGCCACAAATAGAGCGGCCGAAGCCAAATTTATCGGCGGCTCGGACCCCCTGGCGGAAAAAAAGCCGCCTATCGATCGCACCTCTTCGGCGCTTATACGTTATCGGGAGGCGAAGTGTCGTGGCAACGAGGCTCGAGGAAGCTGCGCGGGCAGCAACTGCGAAAACAAAGTCTCCTCTCTCTCTCTCTCTCTCTCTCTCTCTGTCCCTTTCCGAGTATGGAAGTCGAGTTTCCGACACGTAGCTCCGAACGCGCCAGCTGTCGAGGGTACTTCTTGCTTGTTTTCACGGGTTTACGCATACAAATGTAGGCTGGTTAATTTGGCTGGAGCTATGGGAAGCGAAAGCGCCGGCGCAATTTCTTCCGCGGAGACAATGCCGTCGCTTTCGGAGAGCGTGTCCGCGTGCGCGCCGTGCGACTTCCAGTGAAATTCGCGATGGCATTTCGCCGGTACCTCACCTGCAATCGCCTCACTGTAAAGTCATTACTCTCGATTCACCCGAGTGGGAGAAACGGGCGTGCGACTAATTACGCGGCTGCGCGCAATCGCATTGTTATTTTTTTTTTCTTTTTATAGATCGGATAGATCGCCTTTGATCTGCGCACATAAGGTTACTGCTGAAGGAGTAAGAGAGATTGTACACAGACGTCTGCGAAACGAGTTAAGAAAACACATATTGCACGTCTGTTCGTGAGGACAATCATGTTTTTTTTTAATCATACGTCAATATCGCAAATAAGCGAACGTAATTACGTAATGGTGGAAATGCACCAAGAGGACGTGACGGATATCGTAACAGACGCCGGACGATGCCATGCAAACACAACGACAGTAGTAACAATAGCAGTGGCAGCGGTGGCGCGAAACTGCCGCAGAAGCAGTCTGGCATGCCAATTTCATTGGATTTGGCGATCACCCGGAAACTTTCCATCTTGCTAGACGAAGATGAAATGCCTGGTTGGCTGGAAAGAAGCCGAGTGACTGGGCAATCAATTGTTGTTGTTTTTTTTATCTTTGTTTTTCACACCGTTGAATTATACCGCTAACGTTCGCCTTCGCGCAAGATGAATTATTGTGGATGGTAATTTTAGTGAAAAATACAAAAGCATGGTATTTCTCACGTTTGACAAACATACAAAACAGACACTGAGTCTCTCATTAACTTTAACCTTCCTCCGGCCTAGAAAAAAAAAAAAAAAAAATAGCGTCAAAATTCTTTCTACCCAACGAGATTTTCGTTATCGGTATCACGGGGTATTCAATTCAATGTTAATGACTGCGGCCTAGCTATAATGGCGGTCGCTGCCCCGATTTCCCTTGCAAATCCAGTTTGTATAGAAACAATGGCCGGAGCGCGACCGGCGCACGCAGCCGTGAATATCTCGCGAGCAAAGGTTAAAAAATTAATTAAACGCGGCGACCAATAAAGGCGAGTTATTTCTAGTAGAGCAATAGAAGTCGGAGAGAGAGAGAGAGAGAGAGACAGAGAAGGCTGCGGCACACAGCGCACTCGCGTCGTTCTATTCCTGTACATCCTGGCGAGAGAAAAGAGGCATTTAGCTTCCTGCCTCACAAGCTCCCTCTGCCATGCGTCGCTTTCTTCGCGCCGTTCGACCTCTCTTTCTCCCTCTCTCTGCTCTTTCGCACATATAAGCGCGAGGGAAAATTTTTTTTTTTCTCTTTAATTGCCAACGCTAATCATTCCATGGTGTGCCCGCGCATCTTTGACTAATTAATGCCGTAATAAAAAAAAAAAATAAAATAATGCAACGTGCGCGTGCGCGCTTATCGGCTCGCTGCACTTCTGAGCCACCTTCTGCACTTCATTACTTCTCCGAGTGGCTTTTGAGGGTTATTCGCGCGCCTCGCAATCGCTTGAAATGCGAGAATGGCCTTTATTTCGAGGAGCGTTCGAATATAAATTTTCTCGTGTTTGCACAATTCGCATAACAGCGCGCACGTTCCACCTGCTCGTTTTACGAGCTGCGTATTATTTCGAATATTCCATGAACGTGTACTCTGAACCTTTCGAGCGCGGTGCAGCAAAGCTACAGAGTGATTTGTTTAACTGCGGGCGCTATCTAGCGCCGCGTGACCCGCGAACTGTTTCATCGAAAATCACGTCCGCGCAGTTTTTCGACCCGAACGCGCGAGAAAGAAAGAAGAAAAACGATGCCGACGTCGAGAAAAGCGTCCCTCGGCGATAATCTCTCGTCGCGGTCGAGCGAGAAACAGGCCTGGGTTGTGGTCGAGGACCGTCAATTTCCCGCGGGGACGACCGACGCTCGGATACAGATCGGGGACGTAACAGAGCGCCGCGGGTCGCGCAGGTGGTTTACAAAAGAGGGACGACGCGCGGCGCACCTTGTAAGGCGCGAATTCGCCCGGCGAGCGCGCAATCGCGAGATTTCGCAAAGTGCCGTATCGCACCCACGCGGCCGCCACGGCAGGCGGCATTCGGTATTTACGGCGATCGGCGCGATATCGACCGCGTAGGAAGCTCGTGCGCGGCGACAGCTGTACGCCCGGTGGCCGCGAGAGAAACGAGGGCTTTATCTTTTTGTCTATCCTCTTTTGTGTTGCCGCGATCTCCATGCGCTCGGCGAGTCGGCTGCGAGCGATACGGGGCAATCGATCCGCGCGCGCGCGCGCAGGAAGCATTTGGCAATTGATTGTCGGTCTCCGCCGGCCGCGACGGGAATTCGCAAGCTTATAATTGATAATTCGACGACGCCGACGGCAACTCGCTCTTGCGTGTCTCCGCTGACGAGCAGGAGAGTCGAGCGGAGGGCTCTTCTACGAAATAAGGGAGGCGCATCGCCGAAAGCCGCAGGTCCATTGTCGATGCCGATCACGCGGCGGGGCATCCTTGCCGAAGTGTGTCCTTGATCCCGCGCAGATATACCTGGTCCCCCTGGCCCCTCTTCGACGCGAAAGACACGAAAAGGGAGAAGGAGACAATGGCACGCGTGCTTCTTTCCAACTCCATAGTTGAGACGTCAGATGCGATCTGAATTTATTTACGACCTCCTGCCTTTTTATCGAGTTTTCAAAACACTCGGATGTAGGCCAGCTCGTTTCTTGTCCATTATATTACCGAGCGAAATAATGACCATTACTCTGCGTACGAATTATCTACAAACGGAGTTAACGAGTCTCTGGATTACAGGATGTTTCGTAAACTTCGTTTACCGTACAACCAACTTCGGGAAAAATAATAAAAGGAACAATGCATCTTTGAGTACAATTAATTAAACGAACACAAAGCCATTGGATGCAATCTAAATTTATTTACATTTTTTTTTCACTTGTCATACATTTCAGAGCCTTATAGTCACCGTTTAATGTGATAAATATCGTTTTTTTTCCATTCTCATAACATCACGCCCCGTGTTTTGGAGCGTTTCGATACATGACTTTTCCTTTTCACTTCAAGTATCTCTTTGATCGCGCATGAATATAATTATTATTTGAATAGCTAAGTTGTGGAATTCGGGCACGTGGCCGTGCAATTCTGTCAAGCATAGAATGAACAGTGTTCCAAGTGGATTTTCCGGAATTTGCCTTCTTGTCGAGCAGTTGTTCCAAACAAATAACCGTGCTGCTGTACGTAAATACGAGTAGAATATAATGGTCGACGGGGAATAAATGCGTATGCACAAATAAATCGATAACAACAGTAACGTTTGACAAAAATGACATACACGAACGATTTCATTAAACTCTCATTAAACTACAATAAATATATTTTTATCAACTTTGTAAACCCCAATAAAAATATATTCACTACCTATGAAAGTATTTTAACTCGTAGAGTTGGAAATGTGTATACAATTCGATTGTTTTCCTTTTCATTTTGAAATGCTGCCGGGCGCCAGCGAAATGGAATTGCAAGTAATTGAATCAATGCCAATGCCGTCGCGATTTCGGTCGGACAGGTGCCTCGTGCGCGAAGAACGCATTTCGTACGTTTGGAGGCACAATGGCTCGTTTCACGATGTACTCGGGCAAAGATAACACGCGCTGAGGAGAACCGACTCATCGGGTTAAATGAAAAATTGAGCGGCGCGAATTGTTAACAGCGTGCATCGGGAGCTCGTGGTAGTGCGTTACTAATTGCAGGAGATACGGAAATCGCGTTTCGGAGGGCGCGCTTTCAACCTAATTGCAAGCGTTGTATCGTTGAATATGTACACTTCGCACTTTCACATTTACAGAGCGATGCAAATCGATGGATCATGTTCCATTTGTCTGCTAGATTACGTTATTTCAATGCGTTTCAAGTAGGCAAAATTGAGTGCAAGCCAAGCGCGGCTTGCATTGGTGAAACTTATAGCTGAAGCGCATAGTTACGGCTACAAGATTTCATTTGTCTTGATTATTTGCAAAATCTCTTTCTATGTACCAATTTGAGTGAAATGGAAACGCTACTATTGTAATTGTACAGTTATTTATAAAAAGGTTTTTTTTCTTCAAGTACTTTTTTATGTCCTTTGCTTTGTGTCACTTCACAGCACTGTGTCAGTGTGTGTATGCGTGTATGTGTGAATTGTAAGTGTACTACTCATTTCTAATACATATACATATTAACGCATTACAGAAGTATTCGTTACGCAATTTTTCATCAGAGCCAAGGTTGATGCCCTCGGAAACAGATACAGATGTTCGGCAAATGTCAGAATAATTACGGCGATACATATGAAAAGAATAGAATCTGAGCCGAAAAGGTAGAAATCTACCTCGTTACTCGCTGCGAGCACAGTAGAAATCAACGGCTATTGGCTTTGAAACGAACATTACGATTTGCTTTCTTTACGAGGAAATCGACGATATTTCTTAACGATTGCAAGTCGTTACACTCAGAGGTAAGTGAATTCAAATTTTACAGGAATTCGCAAATGTAAGATTATACTACGTAATATTTGATGCACGAGTACATATTTCTCTCGAAAATCGACATTCAAGAGATTCTTCGAACGGAAATACAATAGACAAATCTTTAAATTTCAATAGTTCGTTCATCGTGGACGTGGTCGCTGAGCAAAACGTAAAACAGAAAAAAAAAAAAAAAATAGAAGTAGGGCACGGCGAAGTCTCGTACTTGAACGTGATTATAACCGGAGATCCCGAGGCGCAGACAGCTCCTCGAGCGCAAGTTCGCAGATAGCGTAGGCGTCATGTGTCTCGCGCGATAATTACAAATCGCTATCGCCGCGGCCGCCGGTGTAAGGTGTCTCGGAGGAAAGGTAATATCTTCCTCGGCGTTCTTCGCGACGTTGACGCGCGCGCGGCCAAATCGAGTATCAATTTAACACGTTGTTTTTGGAATCGTTCACTCGACACCAGCGCGTCCTCGTCGAGATCGTTGCCGATGATTGTTGAGTACGATATAACGGGCGGGGAGGGGGAAAAAAAAGGGAGACGAGCTATCTAGAGGTCTGACTCTTGGTTCAGCACTTCCATTCTTTGTTCACGTTAAATTATGAATATAATGCTCGCGCGACTGCGTCCATTCTTCCTTTTGCAGATGCTGCTTCCTCGACGTCTCAAGAACTTGGGCTCGCTGACTACCACTTGCCGGCGCTGCTTGTCATGTCGGGATTTGCGAATGGATTTGTTGACGCTTTTGAAATTAAATAATTTGTCATGAGAGCTGTTTGACGAGAACTCATCTAATGCAATATCTGCGTAATGATGCATCAACGCGACTATGAGGATGTAGTTTTAGCCGTGTCTGGCTTTTCAATGAGTGTTTCTCGATAATGGACTGTTCCAGTTAAAGACCAATGGGAGGAGGCGCAGCCAGCTTCGTTTCCCTCTGTGAGAATCTCCGCGGAGCGTTGCAGTGCTAAATGACGTCAAAAGTGGAAAGTGAATCGGTTCTTTTTTAGAAAATTCGTTACTCAGCGAATTCCTACACGTTAGTTGTTTTGCCGGGCGCTATTGTTACCGTCGATCCCCGTCGTCTCGGAAAAGAATAAGCTAGCTACCAAAAAAACTAATTCCCTCGCATCGCCGTGCTTTTAGCGCACTCACGCTCGTGCAATCAAGTCACCGGTCGTCCTCGTCAATTTTCATCGTTTCCGAATCGCATTGGCGCGATGCACTGGGCTACAGCTTACGCGAATGCGAAAATTAAGCTTCAATAATTTGGCTTGTAAGCGCCTTCGCTTCAAAGTTTCAGTATAAGGCAAGTTCACGTTGCCTTGGTATAAATATTACATCGAGACGACTGGCTGTTCACCGCCCTTTCATTTTTAAGCTGGAATAGTTCATGTCTGAAATTTGGCCAAACTACATCCTTGCAACTATATTCTCTGACGGGTAACCAAAGTAAAATAAGCAATAAAACAACGAAATAATAGAGGTGCCAACAATTTTTGTTTAATTTAAGCAAGCATTAACTTACATTTCAAATCACAAATAAAACGATAGGGCGTAAAATACCAATCAGAAAAATAATAATTCATTAAAAACGAAAGAAAAATGACGTTATTATACACGTTACTATGCACTCGGCTAAGATGACATATGAACAATCATGAAGTTCATAACTGAAAATAAACGTTGGTAAGCTCGAGGACACTAAACACTTCACCTCGGTTGATGAAGGCGTTTACGTCCTCGCTTCTAAATGGCGAATTTCATTACAAAATACTGATGAATGACGATTCTAAATCAATACAGCGATCACAATGGCGGAAAAAACTTTCACGAGGTCTCGTCAATATCAAAGAAAGCAAGTCACAGCGTTAGCCTCTATAAAAAACGATTTTCTCGCAAATATCCTACTTACTCAAATGAAAAAAGAAGATTAGAAAAAGAGAAACATAAATTATGTACAATATTTAGAAAAAGAAGGGAAAGGAAAATAGAATAAGAGGAGAAAAGGAGCTAGTAGATAACATTCACATGCTCGTCTTGACAACGTGTTCAAGAGCTTGAAGAAATACCGGGGGTGTAGACGGGCTGCGATCCCCGGTTGAGGTTGGTGTTCTCGTCAGCCTGAGGTGGCGGCATCGCGAACACCATCGGCTGCGCACCCGGCCCCTGCGATGCGTTGCTCTGCGGTTGAGTCGTTATCAAGTCCGGGTCACTCTCCTCCCCCTCCTCCTCCTGTTTCGCCCGAAAAAAAATACGTACGTGACCAGGTTAATATCGACTTGAGAATGGAGAATAAGTTCGAGTGGAGAAACGTGAGACAGACGTTCGTTTGACAAAAGGACTCCACAACTTTCGGATTCGGCCTAGACCTGGTTATATCGTACACACACATAAATATACTTCACGGTTGTCACGCTTAAGGAGCTTCGGCTCTTTTATAATTACGGGCGGGGCGTGCGAAAATTGATGTTGCTCTCGTGTTACGTGTATGTATATGTAATACGTAGGTGCTCGCTTGCTCGCGCCAAGTGTCATAAAGTGCTCGGTTCCTTCTGCTCCTTTCTTTTTCCCATGACGGCAAGCGAAAAAAAAAAGTTTTTCGTTTTCTTTAGCATTCCATTATTTTTAGTTCGCCGATAAATGAATCTTATGAGAGTTCCACGTTCTCCAAGAATAATTGACGTTATTAAATTTGGAAAGCAATGATTGATGTTCTCACAATTGAATTAAAGGCCACTCGCCGGAAATCACGAAGATGTCACTCGAACAACAGAGAAAACGAGCTGTGCAGCAGGCTTCGATAAAGTTAGTCACAAGGAAAGCAGGCACACGCATTTATGTGAGCTATCGATTAAAAGCACACGTGTCGTGCGTACGACGGTGTGTCCACAGACAGAGTTTGCGCTCTTACGTGCGGAGATCGGCTTGGCGACATGTCAGTATCGCGTGACGACCACGTAATCATGCGTTGGTTAGACTGAAAAAGCATATGTCAATACTGAATCTCGATGGCAGGGGTTAGGTTTAGTTATCGATTTTCTTTGGCGAAACTCGCTCGTGCACGAGTGTGTGCGCGTTTAAAGCTGCGTGCAATCGTTGTAGCTGTGCGTAGGCTATACCGCGAGGATTATTCGCACGATCAGATCTGGATTCTATTTTTGGACTTACCCATATATATCGAAAGCAAACATTGGACAATCTTTAGTAAACTGGTCGAACTTTAACACATGTGAAATTAAAATCGATTCTGAATGGTCAAATAAATACTTTGCAAGAAACCAAAAATCAATGTAAAGTAAAATAGCAACGGAATTTCCAATGAAAAGAGAAAGATTAAAAATCATGGAATGGATTGTACATGCAAACGAAAGTTAATCAAAGCGAAAAGATGGATGCATATAAAAACTTACGAACACTTTGCGGTTGATTTGTTATAACTTCGCCTTCCGGATTATTCTGGTCCCGCTATAATACAACAACAACATAAACAAAACTGCTAGTCTATATGAATTTGGTCAAAATCGGCTCGGCATGCTTGGCATTGACGACTGGTCCTGAACCTTTCTTTACCATCACTTTCGATTGCAAAAATTAATTTATACAATGATTGTGAATGTGAGAACTGACTATCTAGTGAAAGATTCTTTTTTTATGCAAATCAAAATAATAAAGATGACTGCCTATTGTAATCAGTGCCAAGGTGATAAAGTAATGCTTGATAAATTGAATGACTCAGTGCCAAGAATGCATTGCCAGAAATAATGAATTACATTACGGATATATATGAATTTCTCTAGGTTACATTATTCATTAGATTATGAAATTACTCTCAATGTCAAATGGTACTTTAAATTTTCATGTAAATTTCATGGAAAACTATAGCAAGAAAAATCGACTTTTGTAAAGCCGGACAATTATTGACGCAGTGGTTTATCAACAGTTATCTACAGAAATTAAGGTGGATGAGGCACGAGGATTGGAATTTCGTTTTGCGCATTTAGCGATAGTCACGTCGCTTTTTGGTTGCTGAGGCACGGAGAATCGCGAGCGCACTCCCGATATAAAATTCAAACAGAGCTCGCGTAATAAACCGACATTTCGCGGGGCTCTTGAATTAGAAAGTTCTCCCTCGCCTCGAGATTTATTAAACCTTCAATTTGAAAATTCTCTTGACGTTATTACTTTTAGTTTTATCTTATCTGTGACTCTAAAAATAGATCACTCAATTGTTTAGAAAGAAAACAAGTGCAGAAACGTGAAGCGCTAGCACACTTATTTATCTTTTGTACATGGATGTTCAACATCGAGAGAATGTTGAAATATAAGATATATAATTTAGGAAAAAACTTAGCGTGACATTAAAGAGTACAGAGTGCTTTTAATGGTACGACACGAAACGACATAAGCGTTTTCTGTGAAGGTCGTGTTACACGAAAAAGTAGGAAAACGATCAATATATGCTTCATGACGGTTGGCACAATAAACACGTGTACCGAGTGCCAGTATGCGTACACGCTCGTTTATAAAAATGTGGCAAATCATCAAATTGCCTCATTTCGCAGTAAGTAATAGCGGTGTATGTTCCTATTGTTTTTGTCTTAACAGTGCAAAATTATAATTAATGAAAACTGAAAATTCATAAGTAAACAATGAAGAAAACAAATTGTAAATAAAAATAAATGAAATGAAAATTAACGTGTTGAAAAAAAAATTTTTTAATGGTGATGAGCATGAAGAGATGAAAGAGCGACAGAGCACAACCATGCTTGTTAATTTTGCAGGCAGATTAGAACAACGGTATTGCTAGCGAATGGCAGACTAGGCGCGCGTTACTCACCAATTAAAGTAGTCTTATGGGATTTGCGAGTGCATATTTAATTCTAAAACTATGCCCACTACGGTGAGCTTTAGTAGCAAAAACTGGTATAGCTCTATAAATGTGTTTATTGTATAGAATATATATTACGATCGATGTTCGCTGTAGCTGTCAATTTTAACACGCTCGACAGAAACAGTTAATAATTTCCACGTGATGCATGCAAAAACTGAGTTTGAGTCTGAGTGCGATGTGAAAAGTATTATTAAAAGTTTTTTTCTTTCAATGACTTCTTATCGAGAGGCTTGATTTATCGTTTTTTAATATTTGACATGATGTTTAGAGCTAATAGGAATCCATTAGTGATTCTTATATGAAACGATAAAAATCTAACCAGCATGCATAGTCGTAAAAAAATCGGTGTAATAAACGAAGAATTCATTTACAAATATACAGACCTCCACCAACATTGGCGCACGTTAAAGATGAATCCCTTTGAAGTGACTTTGATTGATATATTGAAATAATATAACATTTAATAAACCGGACGTGTCATGCAAATATGATTTTCCTAGCAGATGTAATTGTGCTAACATCAATTTACCTGTATAAGTATAATAATGACTACGACGTTATATCTTTTACAAAATAAATATTAACCTACATTTTTCGCTATCTACAATTCACTAATTTACTTATCAATTTTTTTCAATTTTATTTATCATTTGAGATTGATTTTTATATTTATTACTTGCATATAAAGCTCTATTCTGCAGTGCAAAACGGAAACGAAATTAAAATAATGTGCCATCAGCTACCAGATAGAAAAACAAAACTTAAGGGAATAAACAAAATAGTAGGATTACTTGTTTTGAAAAACAAGACGTTTCTTGTAAAGCTGTGTAAAAACTTTCACATATTGAATAATAAAATATGAATAATAAATAAAATTCAAACCTGGAGATTGTGATACCCTGTGGAGTCTTCTGGAGGTGTAGGTTTGCACTTGCCACAGCAAAAATTACAGCAGCAGCAGAAACAGCAACAGCAGTAGCAGCCAGTAATAATACCACAGAAAAGGAAGAACATCTAAAATTCAAAGAAATAGTAATCAGTATACTTGCAATTCTGAAAAGAGTAATGTAACATCTGGTTTATCATGTGTAAGCATTAAGTATACCCTTGTCCATTTAGAAGTGATGACAAAGTACGCATTGACATTTTCTTCTCCAATCTGCTCTGCCACATACAGTCCAAGTGACCCATAGTTGTCATATATATTACGTTTGGTCAGATCAGATAATACATTCTTTGCCCTTGCAAGTTCCTTGAACTGAAATACAAGTGAATATTAGCAAATAATCTTCTTAAAGTTAATTAATTAATCAATATACCTTTTCAGCAGCTTCTGGATTATTAGGATTTTTGTCAGGATGATATTTAAGAGCTAATTTCCTATAATTTTTTTTTATATCATCAGGTGTGGCAGTTTTTGGCAATTCTAGAATGACATACAGGGAATCCCCCGATGTACTAAAAATCAAAATTATTTCAATAATAAAAGCTATGGTTTCATGTACAGTATAATATTAATTTCAATAGTAATAAGATTGCAGATAAGTTCTTAAAATCAATGAGTCAACTGCTGATAATATTGAGACAGACTTGTGGTAATATTAGAGGCAGTCTGTAAAATCAAACATTCAAAATGTATCAAATGACTATGTTTAGCGAATGCACAAATCGCACAAAACAATATAATCAGAGGCATGTAAACTAAAAATAATAATGAATATGTGATTACTGCCATTATAACGCAGAAAAGTTATCGAGAGCGATCGTTCAAAATATCGACTCACGTCTAGTTCGGTCATAAAAGTGCGGTTACAGTTTCGCATGCAAATGACATAAAAGTGCAAGTTGATACAGTGTCTCCTCGAGAGATCGAACGAATGAAAAAAAAAAGGAGCAGACAACTGCCCACTTGCGTGCCCATGCGCGAATAAGAAAATGGACGAAAGAAAACTTGAACGTGCGGGGCGGAGCCGTTGCCGTCGATGTTGAAAGTGAAGGTCAGATTGGTCGATCGGAGTACTCACGACAATTTTCTCCTATCCATGCCGCTGCTGGGCTGCTGCTGGGGTTGACGTGGGCCGGGGCCCGCAGGCGTCTGCCCAACAGTCGGCTGCCCTATGGACGTCGTGGTGGCGGTTATTCTCTCGCACTTTCAAGTCAAATGATATCTTGTCTCCGTTGACGATGTTTGCCGTTGGTTCGTTGATTTACGAATTGTTAGGTTACGCGGACATTGCACTACGACAATTTGTAAAGACGAGGGATGACACACGGTGCGACGAGTCTGTACGAAAAAACGTCGCAACGGGTACCTGCACCTCCACGCACTCACGCGCCACTACCGCCAACGGTCCATTCAATATTTTAGTTGGGAAAAGAGACAAGGATGTCGCCACCAGATGGTATGTGGCGCTGACGGCTCATTTCCCGCGGAAATTTACTATTATTCCAGAATTTCTTCTACTTTGTTACTCTCAAAATGTTTAGTGTATTTCAAGTGCTTTATTTTCTGTCAATATTTGGAAGTTACAAATTTTATATGAATTATTTTGTCTATCATCGTTTCTAATAAATGAACACTTCAATAATAGATTATTTTTCTTTAAGTATCTAGTTTGAACCTAGATTAAATTGTTTTGTATTTATAAATATTTATGTTGGGAGTAGATTCTGATTCAGTGAGAGGATATTTCGTAAATTTTATATGTGTAATGCTCAATGTAATGCATGGGTGTTTTGTTATAGTGTTTTAAATTCAGCAACTTTATTACTTGTGAAGTTACCCCATTGGTTTGCCATTTTTGTAATTTTATTAAGTTCTTCCTTTGTTACAGAATCGGAGTTTACGTTGTTCTATACAAAATTGTAAGCATTATTGTAAGGGTTTTTTAAGCGTTAACACTGAAATTAAAATTTTTTAGCAACTTTTTTAGCCTCAAATATTTCCGGAAGATTTTATTTCTCGCTTAATTTTGTATATATATAATAAATTGTTTGATTATAATTGATTATATTACAAAAAAATTGTTGGTGACTAGTGCAAGGTTGCGCAAAAAAAATGAGAGAATGAAAAAAAATTTAATAATGAGCAATTGCTATTGTTAGTAATAACAATAATTTTAACTATTGTTAGTACAGAATTGGAACAAAGCGAAACAGCGGACTGTAGCAAAATACCGCGTTGTTTTTTGATTCTCGAATCTAATTTGGAGAGAGCCTTATAGAATCAGCAAAATAAACACGAGACACGGAGTACCAGGGGCCTATTCTGAAAAAAATTTTGTGGTAAATCAGTTTGTCACTTCAGTTTACCACAGAATTAATCACTTTAGATGTGATAAATGCTTATGACATGTGCTAAAATTTTTTTTCAGAATAGGCCCCGTGCTAAAATTTTTTTTCAGAATAGGCCCCCAGTGTATATAGTGCTGGGCCGAATGAAATAGATCGTTTCGAGATCGCTTCTTGACTGCCTTCAGGTCGTCCACTTTAACTCCCATTTTGTATAAGGTCTGTTCAATTCGGCCCAGTATTAAATTAGTAATTGCGAGTAACAAAGTGTACTTAATCGAGTAACAAGTCCCATCGCATTTGCAGAAAATATGTACGTGTTGTGATTTGTATCGGCTAGAATTAATAGCTAAATGATAGTTTTTGTCTGATTTATAACTCTTAAAACGAAATACGTTTACCAATTTTCACTTGATTAATATTGAATAGTTGAAAATAAAATGTATTTTTGTTAATACATTTAATGAGATTATGTTTATAATCGCAAAATTAATTGAAACCATAAATTTACAAATTAAGTTTTTCTTTTTATTTCAGCTGGTCTGATAAGTGGCGCCATCCTAAGGTGTACTCCCACAACGAAAAAACAATTAACTTAAGTCAGCCTGTCAGCATTGTCAGCAAAGGAGATAACAAAGCAGCCAAGCTAAAGAGTAACAACGTAATTTCCAAATAGCATACTTCCGTTCTTGGTTCCATCACTTTCCATCTCCTTTTCAAGCAGTATGGAGTGGGTGAATCGTGGTCATGGAGATTATAGTCTCCATGATCCGGTTGTTGACCTATCATTATTATAATACCATGGGCTTCTACGTCGAATACGTATTATCTCCTTTTCCCCGCTTTTTGGGGTTATTATTACGTTTCTTCGACAATTTCAATAACGAACAATTGTTGACCACGGTGACTTATCAATTTTTATAACTACGACAAGATGAAGAGAATCGTTCTCTTTGTGAATGGCACCGACGTTAATGGAAAGGTGAGATTTGTTGTTTTTTATGATTTTTCATTGCGTCTTTTTGCATGTGAACACGTGGATGAGGTTTAACCTCCATGTGTTTAGCTTAAATCTATGAAATGATTTTGAATTATACAGTGTATAGTTATAAATTAAGTTTTTAATATTTATTTAACTTAATAAAATTGAGTAGTTAATTTTGAATAATTATTTGATTATAACATTCATAAGTATTTTTAGTATAATTTCTTAATATTCTAATTGATTGTTATTTAAAAAATTAGTTGAACTTGAAATTGAAAAAAAATTCAAAGTTTTGTTTCTAGGCTATTACTTATTTTCATAGTTTCTATACAGGTTTTTTTGGTTCCAAACTCATTAGACGAGTTACTCGTACAAGCCAGTGTGAAATTTAATATAAATGCTCAAAGGCTTTTTATCCATAATGGTGGTGAAGTGGATGACATCAGTTTAATTAGGTATAAATTTTATAAATGTTAAATATCGTGAGATTAATTGTACAAACAAGCATAATAAATTAAATTACATAAATTGTTATTTTTTTGTCACAGAGATAATGACATTTTGTATGTATCAAGTGGAGAAGACTTTGTCTTGATCAACAGATTAATTACAGATCAACAGCCATGTGACAAAAATTCTGAATGGATAATGCTTAATGTTGGAGGTAAATGCTTTTCAACTACGAGAAGCACATTGATTAATAATGAACCTACAAGTATGTTAGCAAGGTAATAAAATAAATACTAAAATTATTTCTAATATATTTTGGAAAATATAAGACATACAAATTCAGAAATTATCATATTTATCTATTCTTCAATTAAAAAAATAAGTTATTATTTGAAATATAATAGAATATTTTGATATTAGTATTTATTACAGGATGTTCAATAATAATGAAAAAAACAAATGGAATATGTTACCAAGTCAGCAGGATCATAATGGAGCATACCTGATTGATCGAAGTTCAACTTATTTCGAACCACTGTTGAATTATTTGAGGCATGGTCAGCTAATAATAGATCCAGGTTTAAATCCTGCTGGTATGTAAATTGAACTCTATCAATAATATAGTTATAAGTAAAAGGTAAAGCAAAAATGTAAGTTTACTTTAAATTTAATGTTTAACTTTATTTTTAGGTCTTTTAGAAGAAGCTAGATTTTTCAGGATAGAAGGAGCAGTTGAAATTTTAGAGGAAATGGTAAAAGAAGAAGATAAAAAGGATAGAGAAACTGTATTACTAACTAGAAGAGATGTTTTAAAAGCCTTAATGATTTCTCCAAGAAATTCAGAGTTGAGATTTCAAGGCGCAAATTTAGAAGGAGCTGACCTGTCAAGGTTGGATTTGAGGAACATCAATTTTAAGGTAGTTTATAATTTTACTAATGCATTTTATTTCGTCAACTCATCAGGTTTTGAATTCTCTTTTATATTTTTCTATAAAGTGTTATAAAAGCATAAATTCATCTTATTGGCTAGTGTTGATTCATAGAATTTCTAAATTTCTTGTCCAATTTTTATACATTTTCATAGACAGCAATTGCTTGATCACTTTTGTATTTTTATACTTAGAAACAGTGAAATTATTCGTGAAAAATTGTTACTGTTATAACTTGCGAACAATAGATTGAAATCGCTTATTTTAATATTACTTGTAATATACAAAATATAACGTGAGTAGCACTGAAATGGACTCTTTGATGTGCTATATTTATAACTAAATAGAACACATCGAAGACTCCGTTTCTTACATAATATTTTGTACACCGCTGGTCGGTAAATTGACTTTACACGGTGCCTTTGGGGAAGGCGAGGAGGTGAAAACAAAGTTACAACGTTGAAACTCGATATCGGGCGCGAAATTAGTCGATATGCCAAATTCACGTACAAGAGGCTTAGCAAGCCACAGAGTCGCTGCTAAACTATTTTGCGCGTAGGAAATTTGATGTCGTCCAAGCGGAAATGGAGTCGGCTTGCACGAGCTGTTGCTTTCTAAGCCCGATTAGCTTAGCTCATCTTTTATCGTGCTCACTCTCGTGTCTAGCCACCTCTCTGCTGGCCACCTGCCCGCTGTTAGCTTCATTTCATTCACGGTTAGTCCGCGCGCGATTTGCGATTTCAAAGGGAAAGCCTATTCGATCGACTATCTTTGAGTGTGATTTTCGTCAAATAATTAGCTGTTCGTTCCTTTTTCCGCCATATCAACTTCAGAGCCTGTAAGCTCTTATATTTGATAGCGTATTTGCGACATCAACTGTAATTACTAAACAATCTATCATCCTCAGTACGCGAACCTTCGTCGCTGTGACCTGTACGCAGCGAACCTGTCGGGCTGCTGCTTAGAGCGCGCGGACCTGTCAGATGCAAATATTGAGAATGCCCAGCTGGTTTGCGTGAAAATGCTGTGCGCCAATCTTGAAGGTGCCAACCTCACTTCCTGCAATTTCGAAGATCCCGGCGGTTTACCTGCCAATATGGAGGGCGTCAATCTCAAGAACGCTAATATGGAGGGTAGCAATATGTCTGCGGTTAATCTGAGGGTGGCCACCTTGAAAAATGCGATTCTAAAAAATTGCGTTTTGAGGTCGGCTGTACTTGCTGGCGCTGATCTCGAGGTAAGTGAAGTATTATTATTATTATTATTATTATTATTATTATTATTATTATTATTATTATTATTATTATTATTATTATTATTATTATTATTATTTTTCGTGGTTCCGTGACGAAATTGGTGCTTTAAATAATTTTTCACGGCAAATGATATCAAATAATCATTTGCAATACGAATGTACCGCGGATTTTCTAGAATATTCTTCGTTTTCTATTAATACCATGAATCTTTGATGCTTTCGTGAATGGAAATCAAAGCAACCATGGCGAGTTCGTCCTCGCTCGTTTTTTATATTTGCGAAAGAACGCACGAAGTGCGTACTTGCTCATGCACTTCTACCTTAATCTCTGATGAAACGGTAATATCGCTTCATGATCGGGCGCGAGCTGCTGACGTCAATGTCGTGCATTCACACAATCTTTTGGGCACGAGCTCGTGCATTAACTCGTCTATCTGCAGACGTTGCTGCGCGGTAAGCTCCACTATACTACGAGGGACGAGTGATATTAATTGTTCTGTGCGACAAAACGAGATTACAGTGGTTATCTCTTCGGCGCAGCCTCTTATTGACAGCACGTCCGTCTCCGGAATCAACGTAGCTGAAAAATTATAAACGAAGTCGGTACTTAAAGTACATTCTGCGTCGGTTCCCTTTACAATGAAGCAGTCGGTGCAATGTGTCACTCTGCCATTAGTAATAGGTATGTAGTTTTACGTTGCCCGTGATCGGCACTTTGTGTCCGACGAGAGCTTTAACGTCTAGGCGAATACATACGGACGCACTCGGCGATTTTAAGTCGCGGCAATCTGTGCGCCCACCGGGTCGAAAACAGTTTGTTACACTCCTGTGTCGTAAAATACTCGAAGGTTATAAGGACCGATATTGATGGTCAGCCACTAACGAGGACTGTTCGATAGTAGAGCATTTGCCACGTTATCTTCGCTCCCAATTGCATATCGGTTTCGCACGAGTTGTCCGAGTTGCACCGCAGTTGCGTTCCGCCCTTCGCTGATGGTATCGACGGTCTCGTCTCTAGTGGGACGGTAAGGTTATTTACCTGCCTCCTTCTCATTTTTTTTCGTTTTTGTTTGTTTTTTACCGAAGCGGACTATTGATTTTTCTGTAGCGAGTGCAAGGGCAATCCCAGCATAAAAGTTTACCGGCTACCGGGCCTGGATATTTTTCCTTATTTCTGCGGTTATTTGGAGCGATTATGTTTGTGCAGAGGCCTTGCTGCCAAATCGTCTCTGCCTCTTCTGCTGCTATCACGACCACGAGCTACTTGCTGCGGGGGCTCTGTTGTGGCAGTCGCAAAGGCGAGTGCGCAATCATTTTTTGACTCAATAAGATAAAAATTTGACCTTTTGGCGCACTCGTTTCCTTCTGAACTTCTTATCCAACAAGTCCTGGAAAATCATGGTCATACCAGTCTTGAGTAGTTAGCGAGTGCAGGTTTCCCTTTTTACTCGTAGCTTTCCAAGCAACTTCTGAGAGCAGATAGTTGTGCGGGAAGAGGCTCAACGTAGCTTTCCTCTGATTACTTGTCATGAGCCTGTTGGACCGTCGCACAGTAGTGGAAAGGTCATTAAGAAGGGCGTCGATGAATTCGTTACGTAGTTGTCTGATGACTTAAATGAAAATTCCCTGATATTTTCTCGTTGTTATAATCATACCAAATACCTAACAACTTGTTAGGATAAATGGCATACATAATTTTATATAAAAAAACCACATGTGTCGAATATACTTCAGATTGTGCAGCTCTTCAGTCATAAGAACTGCTGAAAGAATCTTTGTACGTTTACTAGTTGATCTCCTTAGATTGGTATTATTTTAAATCCCGACTTTTCAGATGCACTTTCGTATACGAATACTTTCCCGTAAACACCTTCGTTGTATAACGGGTTGTTTGCTCGTGGTAAAACGTGGATAATTCTTTGATATAAATAATTACGGGAATAGAGAGGAATACCCTGCAGCTCATTGTCGAGTCAAAACTCGACTGAATATCGGCGGTCACCAAAATTAAATAGAGGGACAATAAAAAAAGTAAAAACGAATTTCGTCGACATAAGAAAGGTAGAATAGAAAAGGTACAGCCCTCGCTGTGAGAAAGGTAAGCTGCAGCGAAAGCTAGATAGAGAGCGAGACATTCAGTGGATACTTACCTGCAAATAGCTAGGCCTCGAAGATGCGAGCTCGTACGCGCTTACTCGCAGGTGCTGATCTTGCTGTCAGTACACGACGCACCAACACTGGTGTGCAGTTAATATAGTGTTAATCACCTCGTCAAGGCAAAAAGTATATCCATATTTTTATAACGAATAAGCTGTTACTTGTTATAAAACATTCATTATTATTGCAAAAAGGATCATTGATAATAGATCCGGTTACGTTTTTATCTTGTATAGCTTACCATTATATGATTCGATTTGAACTTAATAAAGAAAAATACACTAATATCTTTTCCTACGGTACATATTAAATGAAAATATAAATCTACGCCATAAATCGTAAAAAAAATGTTATCCAAGCACGAACGTCATGCAACAGTGAATAACGTAAAGAACAGCATAATCCTATGAGCGTAATTGAAAATAGAAGTTGCAGTATAAATAGAATATTTCTTATGCATTGCAGAACTGTGACTTGTCTGGCTCGGATCTTCACGAGGCGAATCTGCGCGGTGCGAATCTCAAAGATGCTGCGTTCGAGTTGATGCTCACACCACTTCACATGTCGCAGACGATACGGTGAGCTTATATCGACGACTCGCTTTCATTATTTGTATGAACTCAATATGAATGTGAGAGGATGATAAGTCTGGACTTATTTATCATATGTATGCGGAAGCTTGTGGTTATGATTTTTTATATTTTGTAACGACGTATGACTACTTTCTATGGTTATGGTGTAACAAAATTACGAATACAATTTTAACAGATAAATACGCACTAATGCACAGAATCCTTAAATGCATTCGTAGTTATATTTATTAAATGGAAATTTGATTTTTCGAAAGAAATATTTTGAAAAAATATTTTTATTTAGATTAAAAACCACGTAAATATGATTAATTTATATAAATTGATTTATTTGAATATAATAATAAATGAACAATAATAAATTCAAAACTTGAAATATTTGTATTGTTGCAATAGGTATTAAAACTAATACTGTCACGGGTTACATAAACCCGAAACGTTCAATTAGCGTCAGCACGTTGCATTACAAAGCGCTTATACACCGCGATAGCACATGTTTCTCACCACGGTTACTTAAGGAGCGCAGCGGGGCAAAGTAATCGCTAATTAAGATGTAATTGTAGAGCATGGCAACCAAGATTTATTAGCATTCATTGTCGAGAAAAGAAACTATTGTTAGTTTGAATTGAGGACACTGGATTTTCTTTTGGTACGTTGGCATCTGTCTCTTGTGTCTTAACTGGTATATAATGGGGTATCTGCATTGGCATAGGAACTCTACTTATTTCTTCTTGGGATTTTTCATTTTCTTTCTGCATTGAATGGCCTAGGTGGATAAGGAAAGTTGTGAGACTATTCCATATGGCACCAAAAAGTTAATAGGACCACCCATAAATACTATGTAAAGCCATACCATTGATAAAGATTTCTATGACCTGTGACGTCGGGGTCACTCTCAGGTACGCTTGGAGTAAGTGTAAACTCAGGGTTGCTCTGATTTGGCTAGTGTGTAACACATAAGCCGGGACGAGCAATATTGTTGCGTTGAGAAAACTGTATGCTAACGGGGAATGTAATAACCAAATGTTATTACGAACACACCAGACTCACGCTTAATGTGTTCATAAGGGACTTTAATGGAAATTCACCAGACTCACGCTTAATGAATTTCCAAAAGAAAGGCGGATTGCTTAAAGAAAGAAAAGGATAGCCAGATTTAAGATTTTACTTGCTTTTATTTTATCAAATCAGTTATTAGTAAAGTTGCGTTCTCTCTGCTCTTTGGCCTCTTTCTCTCTCTATATGCTCTGAATATACTTGGGTGATTTTTCTTCTTTGATGCTTCCTCCGGGACTCTCTCACTGGTAATTACTTTTTATTAGGGACTTCCTGGTGCTCACTCCGCACTTACTCTATCTGACTCTAACTTACTCTCCAGCCTTGTACAGAGCTTTTTATAAGCCGTGGGTGGTTGGGTGGAAATCCCTTTCCTTTTTAATAAAGGATAAATAAATAAATAAATTTTTTAATAAAGGCATCGGCAATAGAGCTAGAGGTAGTGTCATACAAAGGTACAGCAAGACAGAATTTACTTAGGTGATCTTGTAGTGTCAAAATATATTCGCACCCTTTAGGGGTTCTTTTTAGCGGTCCTACTATATCCATCGCTATTTTATCGAAAACCGAGGCACACGTGTCTGTTATTATCATGGGTTGTTTTGTTTGTAAGCGGGTGAGCTTTTTAAGCTGGCACTCAAGACATTGTTGGATACGTCGTTGGATATCATCTTTTAAGTTTTCCCAGTAATATTGTTGTCGTATACGATAAAACGTTTTCGAGACATCGCGGTGGCCACCTACAGGAGATTTATGCAATTCGTAAAAGATTTCATCTCGTTTTTCTTTGGGCACGTACTTTATGGTTCCTAAACAGATTATAATTTTAATCCCGGTTCTATGAAATATTTCATCGATTAGGTTTATGCACTCTATCCATTGTAAATTCGCTATAGATTCTGATTTAGCAATACAAATCTCTGTTTGGCCCAAACTAATTAGCAAGTCTTTCAAAATATTTAAAGTATACCGGATATTCTCCCTAATTTGAGTTAAGGATTCAGGATTTTCGTCTCGTATACATAAACCAAACTGGTAATATTTTTTATTTTTTTTATTTTTTTGGACTTCGCCGACTTTCAAGGTTTCATTTAACACTAGTTTGTGATATTTAATCAACTCGCGCGCTCCTTCATCGCAAGGTTGCCCATTTGAGCTTATAAAATAAAGTACATTATTGTTACAATTATGTAAAGGATCACGGATTTTTACAATATTTCTATTCATATTATAAAATAGTTCATCTGAGTCGCAGGATTCATCGGAACTATTATCTTCTTCATTCGCGATTTCTGTATCCTCTGTTGTATCTGTGTTTTCTCGATTCAAGTTTTTAAGTGAGAGATATACAGTCAACCAGGAGTCATATGCTGTGCTATGGGGTACAGAAAGGGTAAGAGCTCTAAATAATTCAAGTAATTCATTATCTATTTCCATGCAAAGTATTGCATTCATAAACCGGCCCATAACGGGAATATCTGAAACGATCATTTGACTATGAACTAAAAATCCATATTTATGCAACAAATCGGAGAAAATTGCGCTCGGTTCAGAAACGCTTCCGAGATATTCAATATGATTTGGTGATGATGAGACGCTGATCAATTTAACAGTTAAGTCATTAGCAATGTCATGGAAGTTACGCATAAATTGCGCGGCTGGTGCTGATAAAGCTTTTCTTTCATAGCATATAACATTTGGATAATTAGCAAGTCCAATCGTCGGGACATTGTACTTTCGATCACTGGTGATGCGAGGTTTAGAAAGTACATAAATATTATACTTCCCAATCTTAAGCCGATTTGACATAGTGTGATGAGTGCCATTGGTGAGTTGTGAAATTAATTGACATGTTTCCGACGCCTTTATGATATATTCAGTATCTTGACTGACGGCAATCCAATCTGATAAGTATTTTGTAATAGAGTTAATGTTTGGATCGATAAAAGTGCGAGCTAAATTGATTTCGAACTCTAAGCAAATGTCATTCGATAATATGTAATCCCATGTGTTTAATATAGGATTATCACCTCCTGCGGTCATGTGATGGAAGGCTACGGACACAATGACTCCTGTATTTAGTGTACTGTTTAACAGCTTTTGCTTATATAATTTAATTTCGGATGTTGGGCTGCCATCTTTATGTTTGTTACTCATATACTGATGTAATGAATTTGAGACAGCATCTTTCAGAATGTTGCACGCACATTCATCCCATCCTTTTATTCCCCCATCATTTTACGCGCATTATCTGATACAACTTTATTTGATTGTTCACGTATTTTAGCATTTAATGAGTCAATGTTATGAAACATGTAACTTATATATGGATATTTGTTATGACTCCTACTCACACTACTGTAAGCATTTCTAAATGAAGACAATATGTCTTTATGCTCTCTACGAATTAACTTTAGAAGCATTTCAATTGATTTTATTCTATCTTCGTCGGCTTTGACGGTATTCACTTGACTTGAATATAGGAAGTTTGTGTCGGCAACCACAAAATTTAAATAATCCTCCTTACTTATAGGTGTGTCGTACTATGTCATTTCAGACAAACTCGTGATATGCGAATAATCACGATTCCTATACAATACAACCATTCCTTTTAAAGACTTAGGATCTCCATCCATCTTCTTTAAAAAGGTTTTTACATCTAAGGGTGAATCATTAGAGGTAGCCCATTTATATAAGAGACCTGAATCCTCATTTGATGTAGTTAAACAATTCTTGACTAAGAGGTGTGTTAGGCCTATATCTAGTAAAGTGATATTACGTGGAATAAGGCCAAAGACTGATGATGTACATTCGGCATTTAAATAGCGAGATACAGGAGCAAATAAAAGACTCATGGTGGCGCTTTCCTTTCACACTTTTCTGGTTTTCTGACCTCTTTTTCGGAATCCGTCCGAGTTCTCGAAAACTTTTAATGCAATCTAGGCACTGCTGGGAATCTTTACCATGCTTGCAAGCTAAATTGATATTACTGGATAATAAAAGATTTATCCTATCATCTAAGCTCGGTCTTGCTTCGTGCCTTGGTCCGTTGTCTACTGTTTCCGTATTTTTCCTTTGTATTTCTAATATCTTAAATATGCGTTGCTCTTCAGGAGTGCATGCTCCAGGTGTATTAGCGTAAATCCGTGCTATTTGCTTCCTTCGCTTTTTGGAGAAATTGCACCTTTTGCCTTGGATTTTCACTTTTTTTTTGAAAAAGAAGAAAAACAGGGACATATATTATTTTTTGTGTAAGGATTTTTCTAATCTAATCTATTTTTACTTATTTACTATGCTAAACTTAATTTTTCGAGAGCCTTTGTTAATTTTTCTATTTTTGTTCTTAAAACGTTGGTGGAAATTTTTTGTTGTGCAACTAATTTTTTATTAATTTTCGCGTGCTTTGTTACCGTTCTAATCTGTTTTTTATAAATCTTGTTAATTTTAATTAAATCTACGCAAAGATTTCCTAAACTAGCTATCTGTTCGATCCTATTTTTATTTTCTAATTCTAGTTTTGCGACGCGTGCACTCAAACTACGACCGTTATTATTAATTTTTGAAATGTCGGCGCTATGATTATTTACCCTATCTATTACGGTTATTTGATTATCTCTTAACGATTGAATATCCTCGATTATTTCGTCTAGCGTATTAACCGTTTCGTGGGAAAGACTATTAAAAATTAACGAACGGGGGCATAATGGAAAACAAGTTTTTTTTTTTTATTTTTATTTCTTTCTTATATTTTTATCATTTTTATGTATATATTTTTTTTTACTGACGCAAGTCACAAAAAGGAAAACCCTACTAATATCCTTTCCTTAAAAATTATTTTTATTTAAGGAAAGAATATTCCTATAATTTTTCTTGACAGTGATCCCTCCGGGGCCTCCAAAATTTTATGTGACGTCGTGGCAACGACACAGCTCAGGTGCGCCTGAGGCTTAGTGCAGTCTCAGGATTCGTTGTCGCCAGAACTGCGATTTCTCGCCTAAACTGGCGTGGATCACTCGTCAAGAAATTGTCTAAATCGAGGGGGGTAGTGCCACAGAGCCTATACTTCCGCTCTCAGATTCCTATCGAAAGTCGTAATCTTTGAGCTAGAAGCACCACGGGTCCTATCAATAGTAGTACCCGGATTTTCTAATAATATTAGTACCTGGAGCCTATCAAAAGTAGTCTCCAGCTAATAAAAAAAAGGGGAAATACGAGCTATTACTTCGCTAGAGAAAAGAGAGAGGAAAGTATAGAAATAAAGGATTTTTCTTATTCGCTTACTGTCTTTTTTTATTAAGAAGTTTTGTTGAGTTTGGTGTTGGATGTCTTCTCCTTGTCCAATTCCAGATTTATTCTATTATTTGGCTGCTTGGCTCTCTGCTTCTTCACTGATAGCACAATGTTGAATTTTCTTCTCTTGATTTTTTTTCCACGACTGTCGCTCGAAGCTCGTACATCTCTTTTTATACACTGGGGGTGGCTGGGTGGTAAGTCCCTCTCTTAGCGTCTTGGCTTTGGGAGGAGTGGAGTAAGCGATGATGCTTTCATTGGCCCATTTGTCTCTTCTCATTTTCCTCACTGATTTTTCGGGCCCTAATTGGAGCGGGGGCGTGGAGAAAATCGGAGGAGCGGACGCAGAGGTACAGGCCTTGGCTCGTGAGATGGCTCCTCGAGTACCATTTTCAACTAAGATTTATCCAATAAGCGGATTTACAATAACTTAAAAATTATTCTTTTTTATAAACTCGATAACTTACAAGCTACTAGGAACAATATTGTATTACATTTTTCACTAATCATACAATTCTATTTCAGTTTTAATCGGAGTATTAATACAAAAACTTATGTAACTTAACAAGGCGATTATCTCCTAATTTCTTACAATAAAAATCCGTTTAACAATATAGTGCGCGTATATAATAATTTTTTCTTGGATTTTTCTCTGTTTTTCTTATTTTCTAACTAATCCTAACTTCGAAATGAGAACTCGATGAGAGGTTTGAGAAGTCATAATTATCCGGGATGTATTGCGATAATGAAACAATTGTATTTAGATAATTTTAATTTTATTTCATTTCAATGGTAAATTTTTGAGCATTCTAAAAGGAGGAAAAATCCGTTGGAAAAGTGGCATACAGGATGTTAGTCGCAGTTTTATGACTCTCTCCTCTCATCGACATGTTGACACGTGTTAAACACATACAAGGGGCTACACGCTCTTTGCATGCGTTGGAGAACGCTAGCTCGGATGCAGTCGCGGTTTTATTGTTTTTCGGGGAAAAATTCTAATAACTTGTTTCGGTCCCCCTCGCTTTT